AACTTAATTATTTTATGAACTCAATACACAATTAGGGACAATTAATTTTTGTGTGTGGCTTTCTCTATTTATTTATTTATTTTTTTCATTTAAGATTATCTTTTTAAAAGACTTTCAGTGCCTAAACACCATGGCAAGGTATATCCAAAGGCATTACTTCATCCTATCTCCTTCCTCTCCTTTTAGGTGAATATTTATAAAAAATATTTGGTTAATCCTTCCAGTGTTTGTTATTTTTTAACAAAAGAAGTGTGCACATATATTTCTATCTTTCCGCTTTCTTTTAATATTTAAACAGGCCTCTTGTGAAACATTTTATTCATTTGACTTTCTTCATGTCAATGTGTAGATATGTATCCTTGCTTCTTTTTCCTGGCTGCACAGTATTTTTCCAGATGGCTGTAACATGCTTTATTCCTACTGGTAGGTGTTTGTATTGTTTCCAAATGCTAAAGACAAAACCATAGTGAGAAAATTATTTGAGTATTTTCTACAGTTTCTTTGAAGTAGATTTTGAAAAGTGGGATTGCTGAGTCAATTGTTACAAACTATCACCAATTTTCCCTTCTTCTGAACTCTACTATTTTGCTATCCTACTGGCAATGTATCAGAGGGCTTGATTGCTTGCCATTTTCCTATATCTTTGTTTAGATTGTCAAAATTTGGGGTGTTGGAAAATTCCAGAATAGTGAAATAATCTATACATATTTTGATTTATGTTTATTTTTATCTTTTCTTACCTGAGCATTTTTTCCCAGTCTTTTCCTGTTTTCCTTTCTGAATATTGTTTTTCTTTTCCTTGAGTCTTTAGAAGCTCTTAAGTTGTACAGAGATTAACGCTTTGATATTGTGTGTTTTAAATATACTTTACAAATGTAAAATTTGTATTATTTATAGTGTTTTGTGATACAAAACATTCTGGTTTTACCTGATTTAATTAATTTTTTGTTACTTTTTAATTCTTAAGTATGAATGTTTTTCTCATTCTGTGTTTTCATATTTTTTCTAGTAGTTGAATGGTTTCTTTTCATTAAAAGTTTATATATTTATATCTTGGGTATTTATCTTGTATACAATCATACAGTTTATTTTTCAAATGACTATTTAAGATGTCACAGTGTCATTTAGTAAGTTTACCTTTCCCTAGTCAATTACTCCCCAGACTTATTTTATGCTAATTTTACTTATGTATTTGTTATTAAGGATTGTTTCCATTACATTTGTCTATTTATTCCTATATTAATACTCACTCCTTATGTACATAGATCTTTTAATACGTATTCATATATGATGAGATGTTCTCACTCTCACTTTTACAAATTTTTTCCAGTAAATTTACTTAAGGAATTTTCCATTTATAATTTAGAACTCACCCAACTAGTTCCAGGAAATAAAAACGACCTGCTTGTTTTTTAATCAGATTACAATTATATATTAACTGAAAAGAATTTGGCATAATTTAATGTTGAGTATGGCTGTTAAAAAAAGTCATAGTATCTGTTAAGGACTATTTTGCAAATTTCAGGTTTGGTTGACAATTTTTCTAATATATGTTTTGTATTTTCCTGCTGTTTTAGTGTGTCTTTATTCATTAGTACTTATAATTTGTTAACAGTTGTATATTTAATTTGTAATATTTTAATTTTGACTTTTGCCTTAGTAAGTTCTGTTATAGTGTACAGTTCTTTGTTCATTGATTTCTCTGAATTTTACACATGTGTAAACATATTGTCTGCAAAAAATCAGAATTCTAAGTATTGTTTCCTTACTTTATTTCTCTAATTTGCAATAAGTTTATATTATTTATAAAATTATATTTCCATTTTGGTATACTTACTTTATTTAAAACAAGAGTTTTAAACATTGGGGATATGTTTGTCTGGTTCTGATTTCTATTGGAGTACTTCCAGAATTCTACCATCAAGTGAGATGTTGGCTCTAAAGCTGAGGATCACGTTTTATCATTTTAAAGATAATTTATTAAGTCCTAATTAGTCAGTCAGGAATAGTTATAATTATCCATCAAATACAGTTAAGCATCATAGTGGTCAGGATTTTTTTATTTTTAAATATATTATTATGTTGAATTGATAAATATTAATAGTTTCCTAATATTGAACCATGTGTGTACTAACTGGGATGATCCTACTGGGTCATAACATAAGAATTTCAAATTTAAACTTGGATACTATTTGCTTTTGCTTTATTTATGAATTGGAATACTCATAAATTATAATATAATCTGTTGTATATGTTTGTGATCTTTTCATGTATTTGTGCCAATTTTACAATGTTTATAAAAATGAAGTTGGAGACTGGGCCAGGTAGAGCATGCCTGTAATTCCCAAAGCATGGGAAACTGAGACAGGGGAATCTCGAGTTCAAAGCAAGCCTCAGAGACTCAGTGAGACCCTATGCAACTCAGTGTGATCCTGTTTCTAAATAAAATACAAAATAGGGATGGGGGTGTGGCTCAGTGTTTGAGTGACTCTGAGTTTAATCCCTTGAAATTTTGACAAAATTTCTGTGTGAAGTCATTTGGGTTTTTGGCATTTTGTGTTGGTGTTTGTGTGTCTGCAGGGGTTCGGTGACACCTTATTTGTAAAATGTTTTACAAAATTCTTCTTTTCATATTTTTTTTATAAAGGTTTGTTTTATTATGTGTTTACTATGTGAATTCTTTATTCTCTTTTCTCTCCCACTGAAAAAAAAATAGGTTTACTAGTTGTCATATTATCTTGTTTTTCTTCTGAAACATGCTATTTTGGGATTTATAATTTCTATTTTTTAGAAAAAACTCATTAATACATGCTTTATTTCTTTAGCAATTGATTTTTATTTTACATAGTCTTGTTTTTGTCACATTTCCTTTAGTTTTAGTTATGTAGTTAATATTTTATTTTCACAATGTATGTAATGTGTAATTAAGGTTATGGATATTTCTCTGAGCACTGCCTTAGCTTAATCCTTTATATTCTGGTGTAATGATTTTCTTGAAAATTTATAATTTCACTTTCATTTATCCCATATTAAAATATTATATGGATTCTATCTACATAGAAATCTTATTTTTTTAATCAAATTTTAGTTTTATATTATGGTAGTTGGTGAATGATACTATATTTGCTTTTCAAATTTTTCTAATTTACAAAGAATTTATTTGTAATAAAGTTTACCATCATCTTGCACATGTTCTGTGTACTCTTGAAACTCACATTCTTGAACATCAATTTATGAAAATGAGCTTTTTTTACTTCAATATAACTACTTTAAAGTAAATTTTTGCCTCTACTATTAATATAATGTTCAATATTTACCTATAAGTTCTTAAGGACCAAGTTGTATAGAGCTCTTTTATCAGTTTTTGTTTGCTTATTGTTTTCTTTTAGCCACCTCAAGATAAGATAGGTGTATTAAAGTCTCAAATATTAGCAGTGCACATCTATTGTCCCTGAATTTTCTGCTCTATGAAAAGTGTTATTAAAGCAGTTTCTCAGGTCTCAAGGAAATGCACACTTAGAACTTTTCTTTTTCCTCATTTAATAATTTTTGGCCTGAATTCTATAAGATCTCAGGTCAGAATTATGAGCTTTGTTTCCTTTTTATTTAGATTTTCCTTTTAATTTTAATCTTTCTGAGACATCCTTCCTGCATTAGTGATAGAACTGTGTTAGGAGTTCTTGGATCCACACAACCCTGTGGTGTGTATTTGTTTTGGAATTATCTCAAAATGTGGCATAAGGGTGAATTTTTCTCATATTCAATGGTCATCCAATTTCCACACTATTTGGTCCTTTACTGGTAATGAATGATTGTTGGGGCTTTTTGTTTCTATAGCTTTTTATATATATACATCCTTTCACACTCTGAAGCTCCCACCCCAAAACTGTTCATTGTGCACATGAACTAATGCTGTCACAGTTAGACTCACTTATTTCATATTCTTGACAATTTTTCTTTGGCTATTCTATTTGGTATGTTTGACTTCTAGCGTGCATGTTAGGGTCCGCATACAAAACTGGGAATGTAATTTTCATGAATGTTTGTTGACATCTTACTCTGATATGGATTGACCTCATCTCTTATAGAGACACAGATGCTCTTAGAACTGGCTTTATCACCTGAGCTATGTCATTTTACAAGTGGTACCTTTTGTAAGATAGAGGGGAAATGTTAACTACTCAAATAGATGATCTTATTTGGCCTTTTATAAACTAGCTTGTCAATTTGTATATGGGCATAATGCCAGTGGAACAGATGGGCTCCCAAGAGAGAGAAGCAAGCTTGACAATTACATGCAAGATGAATATCCAATAGTATAAAGTCTAAGGATTGTGAGTTCTTCTTATCTAACTTAAGTGACATGGATATTTTTTGTTAACATTTGAACACTGAAAAATGTAGCTGAATTGTAACATACTTTAAGTTTCACAATTGAGAATTCATTGCCAGTATCTACATTTTTCATGGAGTTTACTGATTTCCATAGAGCTTATTAATGTACTATATTTTAATACATCATATGGAAGGAACTTCTGAATTCTTTCATATATTTTCTAACTATATATATGAATAAATTGTTTCTGTACACTTTAAAGGTGAAATTGAAAACTTCTGTTTCTTCATGTTTCTGTTTTGACTGGTTGTTCAGTGGTAAAATATTTCTGGATTTATACAGTTCCACACAACTCTACCTAAGTTCATTTTGTAAAATCTTAATTTGCTTTTGTGCCATATGAAAGTTAGGTAAGTTTTACTACATGAGGATTTCAGCAAAATCCAGAGAAATTATTCTGCAAATTTATATTTATACTTATGTACTTAGTGTGTATTTAAAACTTTTAACATCCCTGCCTCTTTTCTAGGTATTTGGAAATATTCATAATTTTTTTAAAAAATTACAAAAGTTTTTGCCTTCTAAGCATGCTCATTCATTAGCAGATAAATGAAATAGTGGTTTTATGTGGAAATGGAAATAATTTGAACTATTATTAATGCAGGAGAGGAGTCACTCACCATTTTTGTGGACAAGCGGAAGCTGAGCAAGCGATCAGAAGGAAGCGATACCAGCACCAACAGCTCTTCTGTCACCCTGGAGACCCTCCATCAACTTGCTGCTTCCTACTTCATTGACAGGGACAGCACTCTTCGGAGACTTCACCACATTCAAATTGCATCCACTGCCATAAAGGTATGAATGAGTTCATTCTAGCTTTGTCTTATTCCTTTTTTCCTCCATCTCCAAAATGCATTTCTAAATATTTGATTAAATCGATGTTTTAAACAATCACATTACAAAAATATATTTGCTTTTCCTTTTGGTCCAAATTATGTAATATATTTAAGATGAAATCATATGCACTTTGACATAATTTCTTCCTTCATTATTGAGTCCTGGTTTTTCATGCTCAAGAATAATTGAAATAAATATATTTGAATTTTCTAAGCTTACCCTGAGGTACACAGACTCATTCACAAAGTATATTTGGAAACACATTTATTGTAATGATATCATTTTTTTGTATCTTTATGGATTTTAATATTTAAAAAGATGGGATTTATTAGGCCCAAAGTTGTCAATGGCAAAAAATAACATCAGGAAATCCTGGAAGATGTTTTTGAGATACAGTCAAGAAATTAAGTATTTGGTTGTAAATTTCTAAAAGTAAAATATATCTAAAACGAGTCACTAATGCCATGTGCTTACAAAACTCATTTGACTTTATGTATACTAAAGCTACATTTACTAAATGTGAAAAAGGGGAAAATAACTATAGATCTAAGTTTGAAACAAACAAATAACAAAAAAAAAAGATGAGAGGCAGAAGGGAAGATAGAGGAAAGGGAAGAGAGAAACAGAGAAGGGAATGTGTGGTCTCTCAAACTGGAACCATAAATTTTTAAATATTAAAAAAAAAACATTTATCTGGAAGTTTAGGTCAAATGTTATTTTGTGTAGCCAATAGTCATTGTTAAAACTAAGCAAGACCCAGCACAGTGTGATCATAGACTAAGATAACAATGGCAAAATAAAATATAAAGAGAATTCCTAAGCTCTTCAAATCTAACATTTTATAGTTAATGCTAAAAGCAGACCTTAAATAGAACATTTTGTTTTTTTTAAGTTAAAATTAATGTATGCATACTTTTCTCAGTTGGTTGAAAAGTTGTTTCAATATCTTCAAAAAGATACACACTGAAGTATAACTTTTGTCCTGGATATACTGGAAAAGGTGTTATGGAAACATCTTTAGCTTAAGGGTTATACAAACAATAATTCAAAGTTCTGACATGTGTGTCTTCAATATTACTAGTAGACAGGGCTGGGGAAAAGATTTCTGTGAGTGTAAATTACACAATATACTTAGTCTGCTTCTGACTCTAGGACTTTGTTGTAGTGAGCAACCAAGTACATAAATAATATTTATGCTGTATAGATAAAAATATAACCAGCACAAATTTGGGTGTCTGCCACAGTCTGGCTGGGCACAAATGCCGCAGTCTGGCTGGGCACACAATCACGAGCCACCACACAGCTTGTAGATTCAAACAGCAACTCTTTATTCCCGAACTCACACCAGCCGTCTACAATCACGTTCTGGGGAAATCCACGTTCTCTGCCCAAATCCACGTTCTCTGCCCAAATCCACCTCCACTGGGCTTCTATCTCCAAAATATACTGTCTGAATCCCGTGAGAACTCAAGGGGAACTCTGGCAGCAGGATACGCCCTATTCCCAGCAGGAATAATCTTAAACCTTAAACCTGGAACCTAAACTGGGAACGCCCTAAACAAGATTATCTTAAAACCGGGAACACCCTAATCTGCCTTGGTCCTTGAGCAAGGTTAAGTACATTCAATGTCACTGCAACATGGGGTACGCTGGCAAGGAAATTGTCATACTTACTTGGCTAATGGCTCCCAGCATCTCCCCCCTTCTGATTAATTAAACAACAAGCAATGTGGCTTAAGGACCGTGCCTGGTAGGTTGTCCAATTCAACATATGGTTCTTACCCGTCATCGGAAAACTGACCTTTAGGCGTCAGCCTCCTGTCTTAGGTTGATACCACTGCAATTGAATCATACCCGTCACTGACTACCGGTCCAGCATACAGCCATACTTGTGGATAGGTCTATGCACCAGTGGGGGGGTGAGGTTCTTTGCCTCACCTCTGTTGGCCCCCAAATTTGGCCTTGGTGCCAGTGGGGGAGTGAGGTTAATGTGGCTTATGGACCGTGCCTGGTAGGTTGTCCAATTCAACATATGGTTCTTACCCGTCATCGGAAAACTGACCTTTAGGCGTCAGCCTCCTGTCTTAGGTTGATACCACTGCAATTGGATCATACCCGTCACTGACTACCGGTCCAGCATAAGCCATTGGCCCCCAAATTTTAGACCATCACTAGCAGAAGGGAGGAGGATACAGAAATGCCACGACACCAAGCCAATTGATGGCTCCTTGGGAAAAATTGCATCACTGGTGACACCATCAGCAAAGATATGTCAGCACTACCACAATTAACATGGGGTGCGCTGGCAAGGAAATAAAAATTGCATCACTAGTGACACCATCAAACGATAGTTACATAGTCCAGGCAAGTTCTGCAAGAAGTTCAAAGCAGAGGAATCTATCAATATGTCCATTTCCTCCCAAAATCCGTTTCCTCCCAAAGTAAGTTGACTCTTTGATTGAGCATTACTTGTTGAGTTCTTCACCAGCACTGAGATGGAGATAGGAATTCTGGCAATGATGCTAAAGAGACATTATCCTGAAAAGAATTATTAAATATAATGAAAAGGAAAGGTGAAAGTAAACAAACAGATCTGTTAACCTACTTTAGAAACAATCCTTAACAGCTTTTTACCTAATTTAAATTAGTAAACAAACAGATCTGTTAACCACCTTTAAAAACAATCCTTAACAGCTGTTTACCTAATTTAAATTAAACCATTTAAATCACGTGAATAAAAAAAATAATAATAATTCGGATCCATTTTTTCATGAGCGCTCCTCATACAAGAAATATGGACATACGCACATACAGACATACAACACAAAACACAAGAGTGTACACAAACGTACAACACATAAGAAAATAGTAAAGGCCTTGTAGCTTTACCTAGGTGAAATCTCCATTGCAATGTTTAAAAACTCCACAGTCAAAAAATAAAACTGATCAGAAAAACATTAACCTAGGTTTGTATGAGCTCAAAAAATAAAAATAGAACCTTATGATGTGGAAAAATGCAATAATAAAATAGCTATTGAAAAAAGCATCCTGGTTAATCACTGTCGCAGATGTAAGAATGGCCAAGCTGGAGTTCTGGATATCAACTGTTATGGATTTGAGTCAAATCATCTTCTTTTCGATCTGTAGAAACTGTTTTAGTTAATCTCTCTGGAATCCAAATGGGCTGCTGTTCTCCCTGTGGAAAAACACAAACAGACCCCCGACTCCAAACAATCACTGGGTCAGGACCTTTCCATTGTCCTGTTAGAATATCTTTCCAAAGTACTTTAGGCTTATGTACATTTTTTGGATACATATGCCTTTCCGCAGCACTAAGTCCTGATGAATCCAAATTTAAAAAGTTTAGAGTAAAAAGCGTTATTTTAAGTTTATCTTTGGGGGATATATACCCCCTTCCAATTCCCTCTTTTTGCTTTAATAAGTATGTTTTAATAGTTTGATGAGCTCTTTCAACTATGCCTTGTCCCTGTGGATTGTATGGGATTCCTGTTATATGAGTAATACCAAATGATGAGCGAAATTGTTTAAAAGAGGTAGAGGTATAGCCAGGACCATTATCGGTTTTTAACTGTTTAGGAACGCCCACAGTGGCAAAATTTTGTAAGCAATGAGCTATAACATCTTTAGTTTTTTCTCCGGCATGAAGGGAGCCCATCAAAAATCCAGAAGAAGTATCGACTGTAACATGTAAATATTTTAATTTTCCAAATTCTGGCAAGTGTGTGACGTCCATCTGCCAAATATGGTTAGGTATCAGTCCTCTAGGATTGACTCCAAGATTAACTTGTGGTAAAAATGTCACACAATTTTGACATTGTTTTATTATATGTCTGGCTTGTTCCTTAGTTATTTTAAAACGCTTTTGTAAAGTATTAGCATTAACATGAAACCTTTTATGAAAATTTGTAGCTTCTTCAAATGTAGAGAAAATATGTATGTCATGTGTAGTTTTATCTGCTAAATCATTGCCTAAACTAAGGGCTCCAGGCAATCCTGTATGTGCCCTAATATGTCCTATAAAGAATGGATCTTTTCTGTCCCAGATTAGACTTTGTATAGTGGAAAACAAAGAGAAAACAGTAGAAGAAGGGGAAATCCTACCGGCATCTTCAAGAGATACTATAGCATTAACTACATACTGACTATCAGAAAATAAATTAAATACAGAATCTTTAAACATCAAAAAAGCTTGTAAAACTGCATTAAGCTCTACCTTTTGAGCTGATTGTTTGGGTACTAAAAATGTAAAAGTTTGATCAGGGGTAACTACTGCTGCTGTACCATTATTTGACCCATCAGTGAATATATTTGGAGCATTCATGATAGGTGTTTTTCTTGTCATTTTAGGAAAAACTACAGGATGCTTAGACCAAAAAGACAACAAAGGATTAGATGGTAAATGATTATCAAATGAAACATTAGATTTACACATGATTATTGCCCAAGTATTTAACTCATTAGCTAACTCATCAATTTGATCCATAGTATATGGAGTAATAATTTTATTGGGAGAAATTCCAAACACTCCCTTCGCTGCTTTTATTCCTTTGAGTATTAATTGTCCTACAGCCTCAGGATACCTAGTAAGAATAGTGTTAGGAGAATAAGGTAAATGTATCCACAATAATGGACCTTCTTGCCAAAATACTCCTGTAGGAATATTTTTTGTTGGTAGTACAATAAATAATAAAGGCAAACTTATATCAATTCTATCCAAATGTATGTTTTCCATATATGTTTCAATAATTTTTAATGCCTTTCTTGCTTTAGGAGTTAACATGCGGGGTGAATTTGGATCTGATGGACCTTTTAGAATATCAAATAAAGGTCCCAACTCTCCTGTTGGTATACCTAGATAAGGCCTTATCCAATTTATGTCTCCCAATAACTTTTGAAAGTCGTTAAGTGATTTGAGTTGATCTACTCGTATTTGAATT